TGGTAATATTTCTTCTCTTTTGCTATTATCTTTGAGGTGTTTTGACCTCTAAGTCCAACAAACATCCTTCATCTTCATCAGGCTGTGAGATTACTGTTTTAGACCTGAAGTACCTGAATGATGATTATCTCGACTATTTGCGGATTTCGTCTTCTTTGTAACTTGAGTAATAGATGAACCGAGTGGTTCTTGATTTCGTATTCTCTTCTTGTGAAAGAATAATTTTTTTTTTTAATAATTTATTTAAAGTCGATAATGTAAGAAGTGGTTGCCCAATCTTCTGAGCCGGTGGCTCACGTCAAAAACACTCCACTTGAGATCAAATTGGAATTTGGAATGTTGGTTTTTGTGGAGGGAGGAAAACTGGAGGACCCGGGGAAAAACCCTCGAGCTCAGAGCAAGGTCGAGAACCAAAAACAAACTCAACCCACATGTGATGCCAGGTCCAGGAATCGAACCAGGTCACAGGGGTGGGAGGCGAGCGCTCTCACCTTTGCGCCGTTCCTGCTCCCCTGAAAGGAAGAGGAATCTGCAAGAGAAAAAAAAAACTTTTCTTCATCCATACAATTCCTTAGCGGTAAAGATCAGCAAATTCAGGCTGGTACCATCTTTGTAATTGTGACTAATGTTATTGCAACATTAAAAAGCTTAGAAATGATATATGATAATGGCAGCCCTGTGAATTCTATCCTTTTACATGTCGGTATCGCTGCGTACTGTACGACTGAAGCGCTGTATCTCAAAGAGCATTTAGCTGAAGGCGAAACTGACCACAGGAGCAAAACTTGGAAGCGGCCTTACTTAAACAAATCTCATTTCGGTATAAACTACTCCTTGTCTCCCCGGACTTTACTGTAATAAAGTGTTATTCAGTATACCAAATCTACACATAAAAATATAAAACAAGACATCTTATTTTGATAGACCAATCTAATCTGAAAGTTCGACTTTGCAAGCGTGTTTGTTACTCTGGATTTGTCTTTCAGGATTATGGCAACAACATTGAAACTGCTTGCAATTTCAGGGTAGTATCACTTTGGTTTCTTTACTTGTCGGTCAATCAGTTGCAATATACTCTCCCAGATACAAAAACACTTACCCTTCATTATTGATACTAAAATTAACATCTTTCATAATATCCTTATTTTTATGATTATCATTACTATTACCACTACTAGTAAGAAATGGTTAGCGTGCAGCGTGCAACCATCGAGTTATGGATGCACGCGGGAGGTTGCTAAGCACTCAAGAAGCGTAAGGGTCGCACGAGGCGGTAGCCGAGTGCGACTCTAGCTTCTTGAGTGCTTAGCAAACCTCCCAAGTGCATCCAAAACTCGATGGTTGTACGCTGGAGGTTGCTAAGCACTCAAGAAGCGTAAGGGTCGCACGAGGCGGTAGCCGAGTGCGACTCTAGCTTCTTGAGTGCTTAGCAAACCCCCCAAGTGCATCCAAAACTCGATGGTTGTACGCTGTACGTGAAACATTTCTTGTTATAGCATTGAGACTTTCAAAAATTTGTTTCGTGTAGAAATATTTATTGAAATTCGTTCTGTTTACATGAAGGCAAAAGCACAATCAACGCTCGAAAGTATTCATTCAAAAACTGACAAAGCGACACAGCGAAAATTTTCTTGAATCATCGCAGTGAGATAGTTTACGTTTTTTCGATCTCCGACTAACAAACAATTTAATTTCAAACTGCTCACTCAACCTAAATATTGAACTGGCCACAAGCGAAAGTGCTTTCGGTAAAACTTCCTCTCAGTTGGGTCGGTTTCCCGGAGAATTGAAGACAAACTGCACACGTTTAATAGAGCAATCTTGGAAGAGTGGTGCCACGTTTCTTGCAAACTGTGAAGGATTTCATTCTTGACGTGAACCATTGGTCACTCGGACTGTGGATTGCACTGGCAGCACTGCTGAGGAAGCCGTGGATACACAACGAGTACTTGGGACCGAAAGCGCCTTTGACAGCACATCACTGCAATTTTGAAGCTGTGAAACGGCTGGTCGAGTGTTGTAGTGGGTAAGAGACTGCTCGTTTCGATGGCCAGAAATAGACATGATATATCGATTTGGGACGCCAGCATTGCACCACAGAGTTATGACCGTCGCTTCGATGCTGTGGCTTGTGTATATTTTGGACAGCCCAGCCGCTTCGCTGATATTTTCCTCGTGTTTGCCAGCGTTTTGATGCCTAGTGGCCGTTGATCGAATCACACGTCTTCTTTAGGGCTGAAATTTGCCTTGAGATACTGGAAAAACGCACCGCATCTCGGGTTTATATTTTCAAGGTAGTGCTTTGGAGCCTTATAGCCGTCGTATTGGTCTGCAGTTTCGTAAATTCTAGCCTCCTTTTCGTTATTGGGTTTGTCATTGACACCGCGGGATGATTCTGCGAACCTTCATCATGGGCCATGGTTGCGAATTTTCGCCCGGCTGCATTGACGCCAAAATTGAATCGTTTGGTTGTTAGACCTCTCTGTCCCTCACTGCCTCTCCGGCAAAAGAAAAGAACGATATGGAACCAGATATTTTTCAAAAGTGAGAGCGGGTAGGAAAGCGAAAAAACAACACTAGCTTTGAGCTGTTTGAGATGCTCTTCTTCAATAGCAGGTTTGTGGGTTATGTTTTCCTTTCCGCTTCGTTTTAAATTGACAAGTTGTGCGCCTAGCACTTGGTTCGACCGCACAAATCTCGGGTCACTTGCTAGTTGGGGCCCTTTGTTGTATGCAGGAGAGTTGAGATATCTTTCAGTTCCGTGTCTGAATCCAAGCAAGGTGGATTTACTGTATGGCTCCCCTTTTTGAGTTCGTGCTTCGGCGTTAAATCGCCTCAGGTTGTGGTCCAGCTGACCAATCGTCATGTCTTCGAGCGGTGTTTGTAAAGTTTTCTCTGAGCACCAGGCTGAGATTGAACGGGTAAATGGCTCAAGTGAATTGATCACTGTTACTTTCTTTATTTAGTACAGTAAAAGAACAGACAACTGAGGCCTATTATTCGTGTTTTTCTCATTGCCATGTTCCCACCAATAACGTAGCTCCATTTTCTGCCTTTAAAAGCACACACAGTCCACAATTCCTCTATTCGCTCCGACGAAGGGCCAACGCTCGAAAGGTCAGCTTTTGTAATCGTTACGGTGGCCAATTTACCATTTCAACTTTGTTGATATATCCAAATTATTTCGTTACTCCTACCGACGCAGCCCCAAACAGTTTCTTCCGAAACTATCAGCCTTTATCCGATAGGAAAGACACTTTGTATAACTCACAAGTACAGTTTTGCTCGCTGGAAGTATTTAAATGGCTTCCCACACCGGAAAGTTTTACAATGAACGCTTGTACAGAATTTAATTATTGCTAAATCGCTGAAACACACTCTCTACAATTTCTGCTATTTATTACTCACCTCGAAAGGTTGATACAGACCAGTTTGTTACTTTTTTAGTCTTCTCTGAGTGTCTTTGTTCAACCAGCTGATTAAGCTCCTGGTCGCTTAAGTTCGCAAATCTCGAACTCTTAGCTAGAGGCCCGTGAAAGAAATTGAGCTCGAAATTTGGCAGCTCACAAGAATTATTTTATCTCCGGAAAAATTACAAGATTTTTCCATATTTTACGAGCGAAAAACCCACAGAAAACAGGAACTATGGTGTATAAAGTGGCAACAGCGACAAAAAAAGTTGTCGTGAAAAAAAAAAGAAAAAAAAGCAAAACAAACTGACGTCAGCGTGTAACCCACAGGCAAATGGATCGAGCATATAAGCCAATCAGAGCGCGCGCTTTTGTAAAGCTTTGTTATAATCAGTATTAATGTTATTTAAAATAACCTTGCAAATTATGCAAACTGGTGTATATTCGCTACATACCATTCACAATGCTGATCACTTTAAAGACTAAATCTTTACATTGCGTGGCCCAGTTGTATTTCTTACTGTAAGAGGGCCGAAGTTTTTCAGCGTCTTCGAGTCGTGTCTGTCTGTCCTTCTTCCTGTCTTCTTTCTGTCTGATCTCCTTTGCCCGGAAAGACCAGTAATTGCAGAGCAAAGTCAACCTGTCCGATGGACGGAAACTGCCCGAGTATTGTATACCAAGCTACTGTGAGCAGCGACAAGGGCAAAGGAACCCACTTTGGCATAACTGCAGATCAGTTCAAAACAAGAAACCGCAATCACATAGCTTCGCTTAAAGACAGGCACAAAAGGAATCATGATTCCACAGAACTAAGCAAACATATCTGGTCCTTGAAAGATGCCGGCACGGAAAACACATTGTCCTGGAAAGTAATCACTCATGCCAATACGAACTCTAACATCTCAAAAAATATCATCTTTGTTCAACCGAAAAATACTTAATTATACGGAAACCGGAGCTATGTACATTGAACATAAGAAACGAGCTGGAAACTGCATGCCCGCACGCTAGAAAATATCTTATTAAGTATGCACTGACTTGAGGCCTTTTATCGTATTATATTATTTTAACATCCGAAGAAAGAACATCTCGAAACAGAACTGTAACGCATTCAAAATGTGGTTCAAAGCCATTAAAAACAAACATCACCACAGTCTTATTTGCCTTGACATCGAAGAATTCTACCCTCCATTAGCCATGACTTCCTAAACAGAGCACTCGACTTCGCCTCAGCCTCAGCCTACGACAACATCACCGGCGTCGAAAGAAACATGATCATACACGCAAAAAACTCGATCCTTGTACAACAACCTTGGCATATAAGAAGTGCAACACATCATCCGACGTCACAATAGGCAGCGTCGACGGCACTAAAACATGCGAGCTAGTGGGAAGTTTCCTTCTTTCCCAACTGCAAAACCTTAACATTAACATCGGACTTTACCGAGACGGCGGACTGGCCACTTCCAATGCCTCACCAAGGGAAAGTGAAAACATCAAAAAGGACTGAAATATTCCGCATCTTCAATCACAATGAGCTACGGATCACCATCGAAGCCAACAAATAGACCATCAACTTTCGAGACGTCGCTTTTAACCTGAACAAAAACACCTGCCAGCCCTTCTCAAAGCTTAACACCACGCTACAATGCGTCCACCGCGATCGCCACAAAATTATTAAATCATTAATTACCACAACCAACATACCGCCGGCATCAACAAAGGATTGTCCTCCCTTTCATCCCACAAAGCATCCTTCGACCAAGCCGGTCGTCCCTCCATACCAAAAAGCACTCGACGAATGCGGATACCAATACACCCTACACTATGAATCACCCTCGACCAACGAACGAAAAAACAGACAACGGAACAACATACTCTGGTACAACCCCCATTCAGCAAAAACGTCTGCACCAACATCGGACACAGATTCCTTACCCTAGTAGACAAGCACTTCCCTAAAGACCACAATCTTAGAAAACTCATCAACCGAAACACAATCAAGATCAGTTACAGCTGCACGAAAAACACCAAACGGATCATTGACAATCACAACAAACGCGTTTTGAATTCATCCAAACGCATTGATGACACCGCAGATAGCACCAACACAAAAGACAACAAAACTTGCAACTGTCGACAAAAGAACACTTGCCCACTTAACGGAAACTGCCTCCAAACATCAGTGATCTACTAAACCACCGTCACACATAAGGATAACAGCATTACTGAAACGTACATCGGACTGACAGAAAACGATTTTAACACTAGATACAGAAACCACACCGCATCATTCCGACACATAAAACACAGAAACTCTGCCGAACTCAGCAAACATAGCTAGACACTTAAAGAAAGTAGCGTTGACCACTTTATTTCATGGCGCATCCTTTCATCAAGATCAAGATCACCCTACAACAGCGCAAGTCGAAGATGCAACCTCTGCCTAAAAAAAAAAAACTCCTCATCATCTGCCGACCTGAATTATCATCACTCAATAAACGTAATAAATTTGTGTCCTCATACCGCCACATAAAAACAAAGTGTTACTGTGC